TATATATATATATATATATTCTCAATCAAACTATTAAAAGCCAAGGTTTCAAAACACAAAATCCATATAGCTAAACGTAAAAAACCCCCAATCGAAACAAATAAAGCATAAAAGACCCAACTAAATTCTGATAAATGGAACTTCAAGCAAATCACCAGTAAGAAGAATATGGAGCTGTTGAAAGGGGGGTCCCACTTACAAGCACATTAGCTTCTCTGCCCATACGGGCTAACCAATTCGCAGGAGAGTTGCCTTCTCTATAGATGAAAGACAATTTTATATTCAAGTTGTATCTTTGTATAATATCCCACACTCTATTTATAGTGGGAATTAAATCCCATCGAGACTTGGAAACCTTATTGAACACATCAATAAGGATTTGAGAGTCCGTCTCAAAAATTATGTTATATAAATTGAAGCGAGTAACAACTTGTAAAGCCAACAGAAAACTCCAACATTCAGCCTCGACGGGAGAGGAGGCCAAAATAGGAGAAGCAAAGAAAAATAAACAATGAACAATAAACAAAAATAAACAATTCCCGGAATGGTTCCGTAGAACCCCACCCGCATAAACTGCATTGGGAATCCAACTACCATCAAAATTGAATTTGACCCAATCGATAGTTTGGGGTTGCCAGTTTGGGGTTGCCATCTAAAGAAGATGGCCTTCCTACCCAACCTAGACCGATCAGCATTGCCAGGTAAGCAGAGAGCACGACAAGCTCGATGGAAATGAGCTATAATGTTAGAAGCGGTAATAGAAGAAGCACACAGTACTGCCATATTTAGCATTATTTCTCGCCGCCCATATGAACCAAAGAAGCACAAGGGGAAACCAAAACAACTTCTTATCCACCTGAGCTGCATCTCTCCAAATCTTAAGAAAATCAGCAATCGAGGAGTACAACCATTTGATAGCAAAATAGTTGCCCAAAATGTTCGAAGTATCAACAGCAAATGGACAAAGAAAGAAAAGGTGTGTAACCGATTCAGAGTCTCTTTTACATAAATAGCATTGGGATGCCAATTTCAATCCTTTAAGCTTCAAAATTCCTTTAAGCTTCAAAATATCAAAATATCATCCAGAGGAAGCAATTGGAGAAAGAACCTCCATAAGAAGAAAGAGATGGATGGAGAAATAAGTCTGTTCCAAATAACTTGGCCCCATCTCCAATCAGTATACTGATAAAGGTTAGCATAAAACATTTTGGTGGGAGATACTTTCCACAGAGGACGATCCTTGTGGTAGGCTTTAGAGGAATTTTAGATATTTTAGTAGCTTGCGCACCAAAGACATAGTTTAATTTATTGACATCCTAATTGTCATTAAGCCACAAATCAGAGAGAATCAGATCATTCGAAAATCCGTGCTGAAAGGGAGATTAAGATCTCCCTGACCCCACTGGTCATGCCAGATCGAGATTTGGCCCCCACCGATATCCCAAAACATAAATTTTGAAGCCGCCTCTCTAGCCATAATAATTGCTTTCCAAATCCTAGAATCGCCCACTTTCCAATGAACCAATGCCGGGTGATGAGAATAGTACTTGTGCTGCATAAAATTGGCCCATAAGGAGTCATTCAAATGAAATTTAAACCACAACTTATACATGTTAATCTCATAGATTTATTAAGACTCTTAATCCCCAAACCATCAGCCTTCGTAGGCTTACAAATTTTATTAAAAAAAGAGCAATGCTTCCTTGACTGGCTTCTAGATCAAAGAAAACGATTAAAGATCCTCTCTAATGTAAGCTGAGTATTCTTCTTAAGTATTCTTCTTAAGATTAAGATTCTTAAGATTAAGAATTTGCAACGCATACATAAGAATGCTGATTAAGACACTTTTAAGCAAAGTGAGGAGACCATCATTGGACAGAAAAATATTTCTTCAATCCTCAATTTTGGATTTGATTTTCGCAACAACATCATCATATTGAATTTGCTTCCGACGATCTCTTAACTAATTAACCCCAAGATATTTGAGAGGAAGAGTAGATGAGTGACACCCAGCGAAGGAGATAGCCCAAGAAGCAACATATCGATTAAAATTCTTGCCGAAGTAAAGATTACATTTATCCTTGCTAAAAATTAATCCGGAAGTTTGTTGGAACTCCTCGAGCACCCTCATCAACAACCTAATAGAATTTTTACCGGCATTAGAGAAAAGAATAGCATCATCCACATAAGCAAGGTGACTCACCGAAACCTTCGACTTATGATGAAAGTGTGTGTACACATTTTTTTGTTGCAAATCATTGACCAAACGAGAAAAATAATCAAAGGCGATAATAAAAATCGTTGGAGATAAGAGGATCATCTTGCTTAATGCCTCTTTGCTCAGAGAAGAACCCATAAGTATTACCATTGACCATAACACTATCGTGATTATTGTGCATCCATCTTTGGATAAGAGAGATGAAGTTATAATGAAAGCCACAAGCATGTAGAATATTGATAATGAAATCCCAACTGATAATATCAAAAATCTTTTTAATATCAAACTTAAGAATCATATTACTGTCCCAACATCTCTTATCAAGGTACTCAATAAGTTCTTGAGCTAGTAGAATATTATCGGTGATCTCACTAGTTTTAACAAAAACCGACTGTTGAGGCAAAATGATTTTAGGGAGGAGAGGTTGAAGTCTGGAAAACATCAATTTACTCAAAACTTTAGAAATAACAGAAGTGAGGGAGATGGGGCAAAATTTATCCCAACTAGATTTATCAGGACCTTTGGGGATAAGGACAATCATAGCAGAAGTAAAGTATTTTCCAGGATCTTCCCCTCGAAAAAAACTTTGAATAGCAAGAATAGTCTCCTTTTTAATAATGTCCCAACAAGAGACAGATGGAGGCAGTAAAACCATCAGGTCCGGGAGCTTTATTGAGATTAATATCTTTGAAAGCATTAAAGATTTCCTGCCTAGTAGGAACATCATGAAGAAGAAAAGAGGAGACATAATCCCATGCTTTTGCCTATGTCATCATCCTGAGTAAGAAGATTTCCAAAAGGAGATCTTATTTTAAGAATAGTGTTGATATTCTTCCTATGTTTAATAGATGCATGAAAATGCTTAGTGTTGCGGTCAGCATTGAAAAAAGATTGTATCATTTGCCCTCTGCTGAAGTAAACCTTCTTCTAAAGAGATAGCCTCCAAAAGATTAGAGTGAGCCGAGGCTAACTCATCAACAAGTTGCTGGGAGCAAACAACCTTTTGTGCCTCCAGAACCTTCTTGTGGACATTACCAAACACATTTAAATTCCATTTACGTAATTGCGCAGCAATCTTTTTATGAAGTTGCCACAAAATGTACCAAGGATTACCTGTACACTCGACTTTCCATTCTTGCTTAATGAGATCCAAAAAAGCTTCATGAGTAATTCAAATATTAAGAAACTTAAAAACGATAAGAAGATGGCTTAGTGGTGAAAGCGAGCGAAAGGAGAATGGGATTATGATCAGAGGTAGCATGATTTAAATGAAGAACTTTAGAAACGTGAAAATAATTGAGGAAGTGATGATTATCAAAGAAACGATCCAACCGTTGGGCAAGGGTTCCCCTTCTCCAATTAAAAGGAGTACTCGTGAAACCCAAATCAAAAAGACAAGCTTCATTAATCTTATCACATAATTGATTAATCAAACTAGTGTTGCATCTCCCACCCCCTCTTCGTTCAGCACATAATCATATTGAAATCCCCCCCATAATAGCAAGTCTTTGCCAAAGATAGTGCTTATCCTGAAGTAGAGAGCTAGCATATACAAACGTAGCCCAGGCAGAGTAAATATCCTGCTAAAAGTGAAATAACACAAATTGCTTATCATTCTAAAAAATAGTAAGATCAATGTCATGCTTCCAAAATATCCAAATTTTATTATTTCTATTGAAAAAAAACATTGTACTGCTTAAATTTCCTGCAAATCCGATCTTTGTTAGTAGAAACAAGCGGCTCAAGTATAACAAAGATGGAAACCTTGTGGACTTTACATAAATGCTTTAGCCTATTAAAGGAGGAAGGGTCTGCCACTCTCTTAATATTCCAACACATAATGTTAAACATTGCTTCTCACGCAACCTCTCCTAGTGGACCTAGAAGTGGTGCTGACTTGTTCCGCATCCAAATGAGATCTTCCATCAAGTATAATGTTATCCTTAGCTAGATGTTTAAGTTCATTGTTACGTTTACCTTTCTTTCTACTAGCTCTTTGAACCATCCATTTCTCTTCAGTAGCATTTGTAGCTGCAGAAAAATCCTCCACAGGAAAAATATTTTCATTGATAGGATGAGTGGATCCATTATCTAAAGGAAGCTTAGATGTAGAACAATGTGGATCTCTTTCCGCAATAATGGCCTCACCCACGTTCTCCAAAACAGGAGAAAAGGAATGATCAACGTCATCAACAACATTAATAGGTAGTGTATTGGTATTTCGCTCCACCTCAAAATCAGCATGAGGCGTATTACGAATCGATTCATTACCTACAGTAATAACAGGAGGATCATTAGCATTTGGTTGAGAATTTAAAGGAAACTTGTCACTATCATTAGGAATGGCATTTGGAGGAATATCCGGGGCATGCAACGGACGATTAAAATCCTTTTTCAAATGAGGATATAATCGATGACAGTGCGAGGGGGTGTGCCCAAACATGTGACACTGAGAACAGTAGGGAGAATGCCTTTCGAGTTCAACTTTCTGCCAATACTCATGATGCGCCGAGCCAATCCATATTTCATCACAAAAAGGCAGTGTAATATCACGTTCTACTAAAATACAGGTCTGGGAAGGGCGAGATAAATTTAACATATGCCTATCCATTTTCAACGGTTTGCCATATGTAGATGCTAATGAGAACAAAATTTCTTGATTGAAGAGATGAAACTTCAAACTAGGAAAACGTATCCACAACGGAAGAGTGGGCGGTTTCGATTTATGGTCAAAATCAACCGTCTATTTAAGAATTTTCATGTGTACATTCACTATTCTAAGAAAACGTTGAGCAAAAAGACGTGTATAATCCTCATCATTAGAGAGTTTGATCAAAATGTGCCTCCCATCGAGGAGGCCTATTTGCCAAAAATCAGTGAGTTTCAATGCTTCAAATTCTCTCATAATAATTTCAAGTTTAGGGTGACTAAAAGAAAATTTCCCCACCAACACATGCCGACAAGAAGAAGCAAGAACATTAGTTTCCTCCTCCGAGACAAACCAAGCAAATTTTAGACAAACCAAACAAATTTCCCATTCTTCTTACTAGTCTTTTTAATGAAATTATAGTTACCATCTAACACCAAAGCATCATGAAAAGCATTTGGGAAAAGCCCCGAACAACCAATCGAGGAGGAACCCAAACCCGTTAAAGCTTCCGCGAAATTTAGCCATAAAAATACCAAAGCAGGGACCGATCACCACGAAATTGCAAGAAATCAAGAGTAGAAGGAAAGATCTCACCAGAAGTTGGAGAAAGGACCCCAAGAGGCGAAGAAAATGCCATGGAAGCCGAAATCGCCCCAAACCCTAGTAGGATCCATCGCGATAATATATATATATATTAATAATAATAATAATAATTTTGAGCTAAAACGAGCCAAACACGAGCGAACAAGGGGTTGTTTATGTTCTGCTCGTTTATATAATTCGAGCTTCAAAAATTTGGTCGTGCCGAATATGAACTACTTAACCAGCTAAACACCAGTTGCTTGCGAACAACGAGCTTTTTTGACAGCCCTAATTACTAATGGGACCCAACACAGCTAATACATTCATGACCATCACTAATACTATCCATCTCTACAATAGCTTGTGCATTTGTTTGGGAGTGTAATTTTATTTATGCTCTTCGTAGAAAAAATTTAACAGAGTTTTGATTCACTGCTTTGGTTAAGGTGAATCTAAATTTAAGCATAATTTTCCTTTTTTTTGTTTGGTTTGAAAAACTTAACTAATGAATTTTTGAATAACCCAACCTAAGGTTATTCATGCTAAAATTTACTATAGCTATTTACCGGATTTAAGCAGAGAATCATTACTAGAAATATTCATGTATTCTAATTTTCTAGGTGAAATGAAATTTTTTTGGAGGCAATTTACATATGTACCATAATTCTTATGTATTTACACATCTAACACATATAATTTCATATTTACATTTATAGCACTGTTGTCATTGACCTAAGCATGAAAAGGTGTATTTATTTCTCTCTTAAAATGTATGTGGTAGTGGTATTTTTGGTGTGAAATTAAAAATTTGCGTGTTATGTATGTAAACATTAAATTATAGGCATTACGTACATAAATATCTAAGAATTGTGTGGTATGTATGTAAACGCCCCTTCTTTTAATTACACTGAAACAAGAAAGATGTAATCATGAGGTACATAATAGTTCCTTTCCTAATCTATCCAAACAAGATGCAGCCTTTATTTATACCTAGATGGAAAAAAAGAAAGATTTACATTCATGCCACTCAATTCCTATGTATTTACATATCTAACACAACTTTTTACATACCATGCAGCCTTTACAATGCCGCCTTGACTATGCATGAAAAGATGTATTTCACTCTATGAAGTTAAAATGGTGGTATTTTTGATATGATATGAAAGTTGGTGATATAAATGTAAAAAGTAAGGTTTAGGTGTTAATAATGTAAATGCATAAAAAATTAGGACAAAAGCACGAATTCTGAATATGCTATAGCACACTTTTATCTTCAATGTTCAATTTTTTTTTTTGTTGTAGGTTGGAGAGGTTTCATCATTTGACTACAAAACTCTTCAAATTATATTGCTCCCAGCGGTAGATTATGTGTTTTCATTAGATGAGATTCCACGTGGAACCATTGGTCAACCAAATGCTTCACGATACAAAGAAGATGGCTCTTTAGAGGTGGATTAGCGTATATAAGATCATATATTCTCCACTTTAATTCTATTATCAGTTTTTTTCGATGCCATTTGATTGCTGAAATCTCTATCCAGATCGAGTTTTTGTCGCTCGTCGACGTACGATTGGTGAAAGCTCATGACCAGGAAAAAGAGAAAAATTGTGAAGATGATCAAGCTGTGAAAGATAATTGGGAAGAAGCTTCACTCAAGGGAAGCGGGAATGAGCCCAATGCTTCCACTGCAGGTACTTATGCTGCTTTTACTGGCACGCAGGCTGATATTGACTCTAGTTCAGAGTCGGGTGGACTCAGCCTGAAATAATTTGATGTTGAGTCGACTGAAATTTACTTTTATTTATTATACATAAAAATATGACACTCAAAAGGACACAATGGAGAAAAAGTTTTCGCCGACCCCACTTAATGGGATAATGACTTCTTACTGTTGTTGTTGCTGCATACATAAAAATATAAATGTAAATACGTACTGTATATTATGCTTATTCCATATTTCATATATTATATCATGCATATTCTATACCTTATAGGGGTATTTACATACATAACAGTCTCTTCTTATGCATTTACATATCTCACACCTTAACTTTCATATTTACACACATAGCACTCAATTTTTAATATCACATTAAAAAAATAACACTATTATAACTTTTTAAATTTGAAATACATCTTTTCATGTATATGTTTAATGCACCAAAATGTTTTGTATGTAAATATCAAGGTTTAGGTTTGAGATATGTAAATATACAAGAGTTGCGTGCTATGCTTGTAAATTTCCCTAGTTTATATAAGCACTCATTTAGATTGTGTTCCAACTCGGCTCAATCTATTTTCAAGAGTTTTGGGTTCAAATATTTTTAGAAGCCCTATTAACTTACAGGCGCATGCATTATTTTTTTTCCAAATGTAAAATTCAAATAAAAGCATTGCTTAATTACTTGTTCCTTCCAAGCAGAGCAGAGCAATAGCTGGGCTCAGTGGAATTCGAACAAGAATGCCACAGCAATGCCTTCGTCTTTAAGCCAACCTATTACCCACTTTCCAGGTATTTGATAAGCAAATGATGCTGTATTATAAACTTATTATACATGTGGTTTGTTTTCATTGTCATTAATATAACAAGGATATGGTACCGAAGGAGAAATGCCCAAACCATAAAATCAATTTTTATTAATAGGAAAATAGTGTTACAACACACACAAACTGGAAATAACATTATCAAAATACAAACGTCACAAATGAACACCTCGAGAGTGTATCCCAAGTACGGTGGAGGGTGGGGTAGAAAGCCGGGAAGGTGGGACAACAACTAGGCGCAACGGGACAGCATTTGGGACGGCTGGCTGTTAGGTAAAATGGAGGGGAAGGCAGGGAAGCTTGCGGCTAGGAAGTATACAGGAGAAAGAGCTGAACAGCAAGTTGCTGCAGCAGAAACTGGGTCGGCATCGCTGGGAAAGCGGTTGGGGATGGTCGGCGGGTAAAGGAAGTAGAAGAGATGAAGTAGGGAAGATAAAAGGGGAGATACAATCACTATCTTGGAGTGTGATAAATTTGGAGCACCACCACCTCCTCGGATACTACCCTACGAATGGGAGAGGGATTTCCAAAGAGGAAATCTGAAAACAAATGCAACAAAGACTAAACCCTAAATCCAGAAAATAGTAATTTAAAGAGTCTCACAGGGTGAAGGAAAGCTCCCATAAGGAAATCATAGAAAAGGAAGGAGGAGAGGGCGCCCTAGAACGTATGCCACCGTCAAACTCCCGCCTTAGGCCGTGCAGCCTGGTTTCACCTTAGACCGGCCTCGATTGGGCCGGCCGGTTCACTAGCGGGACTTTCTGCTGCAGGAGATTCTGCTCCTGCGTCAGGGAGCTCGATCCCGCTCCCGCATTAGTCTGGAAGCCCCGCTCACGCGTCGTACAGAGACACCTTGCATCATCATATCTACAAGTAATATGTTATTAAGAGAAAAGTGCCAAAACGGTATCTTTGCTCTCATTTTAGTTCCCAAGTTTATAAAAGTATCGATTTAGTCCCCATACTCTTTTTAATATGGGTTGGAATAGTCCCCAATGAAGACTATTTTAGCCACATTAAAATAGTTCAGGAACTAATTTAGCATTTTTATAGATTTTAGGATTAAAATGTACCCATGTAAATAGTCAGAGGACTATTTTGACCCTTTAATCTGATATTAAATATCAAATATCAGTAAATCAAACAGAGCCCTTTTTTGTTCTCACAAAAAAAAAATCTGAAATGAATATAAATGAATTACCTACTACTTGTATACTTGTAGCAGGAAGGAACAGTGGAAGAAGGGGTGGAAGGGGTGGTCGTCGGGCACCAGTGAGAGGCATGGACAACAGGATTCCGAACAGGAACGCAGCAGACTGGAATCCTAGGAGGAACCATGGAGCTAGGAATCCAAACTGGAGCAACACCGGTGTCCCTCCATTTGACAACCCTGCCAGTCTTCCATGGCCATACGGAGGAGCAGAGTTGCCCCCTCACCATTGGGAGCATCATCAGAACAATTCTTTTTTTCCGGGTGATGAATTTTTAGGTCCTGGGAAGTGGTGAGCAGTGTGTTTTTTAGCCTCTAGAAACTGTTTTATTGCGTTGGTTTTGTTAATAGGATATTGCTACCTGGACAGAGTTATTGCTACCTGGACAAAAGAGTTATTGAATGTTTGGAAATGAGCAAATGTTTTGTTCTAATTTACTTTCTTCCTAATTATGTGTAATATCACAACATGAACTCTTGATTTTAGTTAGTATTTTGGTTCAGTTTCGGTAATTTAAGTATCTGTTTTGATTGAAATATATGTGAAATATATGTGAAAGTCCCAGCACACAATTCTTATGTATTTACAGATTTCACACCTATACTTTTCATATTTTACACACACAGCTCACAAAATCAAAGTGTTATGTATGTAAATATGAAAGTGTTGATTTGAGATATGGAATACATAAGAATTGTGCGCTATGTATGTAAATTTCCCGTATTTTTTATTTATTTTGGTTGATTTGAAAATTATTGCTGAAGCAAGACCATCTTTGGTAAACTGTATAAGATTAAAGCCTCGAAATGCACGAAATTAGATTGGGCAAACAACATTCTATTAAGCAAATGTACGTGTGATTGAACAAATGGGAGTTGCATCTGTTTTTTTCTGCGGATGTATTGAGTGTAATAGTATTCATATACAGAAATAATGTTAGGGAATAGGCCGAATACTAGACCACTCTAGATTTCATTTTTGCCTGCATGTGCTCCATTATGAATCCAGGTTGCTGCGTGCTTGATGTAATTTTAAAAAGTTTTAATATTAATTTGATAATTTTTAATAGATTCTGAGATTAAGTGGTCTCATATAAATAATTAGGGGATTATCTCACATTTTATATATTTATTAATTGAGGGTTGACTGCATGGATTTGATATTAGCCTTCTACTTTTCCGAATCTCTCATAAAATATATTATGAAAACATCCATCTTTTGCAAAGGCTAATCTTGCAGTCATATAATCTATGATGCATGGGGGAGAACACAAGTATTTTTCTCTTAAAAAAAAAGCTCATTGTTAGACATTAATAAAGAATAATTGTGTGTTTCGTATGTAAGTTCCCCCTTAATGTTATCCTATGTCCAGGGTTAGCTTGAATACGTGATTTTGATTATTTTCCTTGATAAAATTGCTGAAGAAAATCTAAGCACAAGTTCCCTCATAAAAAAACTTATTATACATAGGGCTGTAATTCGGTGGAGTATATCATTGTTTGGATTTGGCTTGTTTTTATTATAAGTTATTATTATTATAAGTCGGTCTGTCGGGCTTTCATATATTGTTATAAAATTTTTAATATTTAAACTTAGTTTCATATATTGTTCAAGCTTTCTTAAATCCTAAATATAAAGGGGCCAAACATGAGCCGTGCCTAGGCTGGCTCTTGTTCGGCTCGTTTACACCTCTAAATTATTGCACTGTATTTTCTCAACACCACTTTTTAATCGGATAGGATTAATGAGCAAAGTGGAGAGGGGTTATATACGAGACACAAGATTTTAAGATATTCTTGCGCATTGTGATCTCGTCATTGCCTTCGATGTTTGCACACCCTAACAACTCTAGGTTTTATATGTTTTGGGCGAAAATAATAGACATGAAATTATGAGAGACCAGAGGTAAAATGAGATTTGTGGGAGTTTAAAATTAATTTTAAGGGGAATTTCATACGTATCACGTAAGTTATGTATTTTCATATCGAACACCTAAACTTTAATAAAATAAAAATGTATTTAATAATTATATATTATTAAAATAAAATATATAATTAATAATTAATTAAAAAATATTATTGATATAATAATAAATCACTATGAAATTTATAATTAAATAATTTCTAGTTAAAAAAATTTAATTTAAATAATGTATCATATTTGATACGAGTTGTCATCAAATTCAATATCAAGTATTTAACGAACTACTTGTTGTGCAGTACAACGAGTTTGCTCGTGAACATAACTAAACAAGTTCGACAATGTTCATATTTAGTCCATTTAAGCTCCGAGCTTTTAAAAATTATTCAGGCTTATTTATTTACTAATTTGAACAAACATAATCGGGACTTTATCGAGCCGAGTTCATGTTGGTCATAAAGGGCATTGGTTCATTTACAACCTTAATTATATATAACTATATTAAAGACATCTAAATCGAATTCATGTAGTGCATTTAAAGTTCAAGTATTTCTTTGAATTATTAATATTTAAAATTTAAAATTCTGTTTTTATATGTTCGATACTAAAATTTAAGAAAATTGACTGAATATATAATTTAAGAATAAGTGAAATGAAATGAAAGTTTTTAAATGAAATGGGAATGGTTTATTTCTGATATCGGGACCCTAATCTCTTGGCAGTTCTTCTTAGAAAAATCTGAGCAGAGCTCTGTGCGTGCCATCTCGAGCAGGTCGGATCTTCCGCTGGAACGCTAACTCTAATTGAAACTTGTTTGGCCGGCTCTTCCATCTTTCTCTTATCAGGCTCAGCTAGCTGGCCATGGATAGGTACCAGAGAGTTGAGAAGCCGAGGCCGGAGTCGGCTATAAGCGAGAATGAGATCAGAATTACGTCTCAGGGCTTGATTCGGAATTATATCAGCTATGCGACGAGTCTCTTCCAGGTTTCTCTCTCTCTCTCTCTCTCTCTCTCTTCCAAACTGTTTAGCATTTACTTGTTTGAGTGCAGTATTCTTGCTTTGTTTTGTGTTTTTTGCTAGTTTGAAGCTTAAACCGGCGTTATTGTGCCTAGTAATATATATTTTTTAATTTATAAGAATTTTTTAGGTGGAGACTCATATTTGTGGAGCTTACTTTCGCTAATTATTAGATTTTACTATTCTTTTCCATTTTTTCTTTTATAATTTTGCATATTTTTTCCTTTGGGTTTACTGAATTTATGTTGTATGCTGGATTTTTGCTCTCCAAATTGTAGTTGAGAGTATATGAGGAAATTGAAATGAAGATACTTCGTTTTAGTTCTTATTCACTATTTTAATTGGATTATTATTATTATTATTATTATTATTTTGTTTTAGGAAGCAAATTGCAATTTGTTTTTTAGAAACATCAGAATCAGCTTATTGTAGATTCCCTACCCGAATATAAAACTTAAAAAAAAAAATCATTTTTGGTCCTTTCGTCATCTGGATGGAGCTTAGAACAAAATAAATCAGATTAAAACAAGCAAAGAAGTGCAGTGGATTGCACAGCCGAAGCTTAGATCACAATCTCTCTGGTTCAATATGAATTGTGAGTTCAGGCCAGCGTCAAAGAACTGTATTTCTTCCATGGTTGAGCTTTTTACTGAGAAGGCTCAAAGAGACCTTTTGTACCTAGGATGGAACCTGAATCCCATGACTTGAGTTAGGCAGAGTGTAGAGAGGTAGCAAGCTGTTCGCCTCTTCTTGAAGGCTAAAGGTTGCAAGATCAGTTTAAAGAAAATTTCAATCACTGGCATGATTACCTAATAAAAATTTTAAAATTAGTTAGTTTACAACATAAAAAATGGCCTTATTAAATCAATGAACTGTATATATCACTCTGTTCAAGTTTTTTTTTTTTTTTTTTTGAGTCCTGTAGCACACCATAAGTTGCTAGCAGCTTTCTGAAAGTGGGTTAGTCCATCCATTCTATTTTCCTTTACAATTAATCCCAAAAGGATAAAATGGCAAACGTAAGGTAAAATATAATGGAAGAATAACTTTTTTTGAGTTTGCCACCTGATTTTTGTCTTCTTTGTTGGATTGCATGCATGCATTTAGGGCAGAAATAATCAAAAGTTCCTCCATTTCCTAGGAAGTTAATTGCAACAAAATTGATGCAGAAGAGTTTACTGATAACATTTTGTTATTCGAAACAACATATCTCATGACGGGGGAGCTACAATGATGTGGGCGTAAAAAGCCACAGGAGCTGGTCTTGTGATTCCTTCATCTGGACCGACAGGTCTAGATCTGGGAGGGCCGACCAGCGCTCCCATTTTGGTTTGACACCTCCTTTTCCTAGCGGGATCCAATTCTAAGTATCTAGGGTTTATTTGTGTGATTCTTTTGTTTTAGGTTTGCAGTTTTGGCGTATGTTTTATATCGGGACAATTTTTTATGTCCTCTTTCTTCCTTTTAGGGATGTCTCCGGCTACAACTTGTCTAAGGTGGGGTTTTCCTTCTGAGGGATCGAGTGGTGCTCAGTGGGTGGGTTATTTATCTCCGAATTTTGCATCCACATTCCTCCCATCACTACCACAGTCACCTTTCCTTATTGCCGGAACCACCGGATAACATTCCAGTTGTTTTCCTACATCTCCAGCCACCACTTCCTTCACTTGTTGCCGCCCCTTCCAGTCACCTCCCACCTTGCTACCATTCATTCCAGCCGTCCGTCTTTGCTGTTTGGCCATCCCCACTTGCTGCCCCTGCACCAGACATTAATCCTCTTGTGTCCTGCAGTCCACAAACCTTCCCCTTCCTTGCTCCTCTTTGTCCCAACCCTTTGCTTCGTTGCCAACACAATTCCAACCCCTCATTTTGTTGTCCCAATCACCCACAACCCATTTCAATCACCTACCACTGCTCCTCGACCATCTAACCGTCCTCGACCACCCATTTATTGAGACCTAGTGTTAGTTTGTGCCGTGTTTGTTTTATTTGTCCTTTAAAGTGTGCTTGATTGCAACCTCCTTTTTATTTTCACTAATAATATTTTCTTTTCCTATTATGGTTTGGGTTAACTCTGGTACCATTTGGTGTCAGAGTTAGCATAATCATAGTCTTATTCTAATGTTTCTAGCATCCTCCATACCCAAACCTCAGCCACCAGCCACCAGCCACCTCCTCCTCCACGAGTCGTCGTCCCTTCCAGTCACCTCCCACCTTGGGCCATTCTAGCCACCCGACTTTGCTGTCCAGCCATCCGTGGCCCATAGACTGGACAACGCTCCTCTTGCTGTCCTACAGTCTGCAACCCTTCTCCTTCGCTCATCCTCCTTGTCCCCTCCCTCTGCTTTGCTGTCAACACAATTTTAACCCCTTCTTTTGCTATCCCAACCACCCATGTACCCATTTCAACCACCTACCTTCGCTCCCCAACCGCCTAGCTGACCTCCATCACTCATGGACCGAGCTCTAGTGTGAGTTTGTGTTGAGTTTGTTGTAATTTTTCTTTTAAGTGCGTTTGATTATGACCGCATATTTGCTTTCTGTAATAATATTTACTTTTTCTATCATGATTTGAGTTAACTCTGATATCATCTCATTTAGGATGTTGATGTAATAACTCGTAGGTTAGCAACCCTTAATTTTAGAAAAAAGGAGTTTCTTTTATTGAAAGAAGAATAAACATGCTTTTCATTCCAACTGATAAATTAAGTTAAAAAATATAAATTTCTTTGTAACACTTCTTTTGGAATTCAAATATAAAAATTTAACAATGATCAAGATTCGGTCTTTGATAGAACTTTAATCCACCATGCACTGATCATTAGTAGATAGATAGAAAGAACGAGGGTATAAATAAATAAATAGGAAGTCCAGGCTCAAATTGGTTTATGGAGGCTCTCACGTGGAAGTAGTTATCATGATCTGTGAATTGCTCAAATAGTTTCTCATCCAACAACACAAAAGAATTGAGATGATTATTACATTTCATTCTATTAACAGCTTAAAGAGCACATTTCCTCTTTGCGTGATATATTCATTGCTAATTGAACATTGGCTACTTCATTCAGGATAAACGAGCTAGAGAAATCGTTTTAAAAGCAATGGGACAAGCTATCAGCAAAGCTGTAGCTATTGCTGAGATCATAAAGGTTGACACTATTTGCAATTGCTCCATTTGAATCATTTTGAACCGAAGTTTAGGCTTCCTGACATACTTTATATGCAGAAACGAATTCCTGGACTGTATCAAGATACCACTATCAGTTCAAGCAGCATTACTGATGTGTGGGAACCCATTGAAGAGGGTCTTGTACCGTAAATAGCTTCTTCTTTTTTTTTTTGGAATATTTACATACATGCACTCAATTCTTGAGTATTTACATATCTAAATCCTAAGCTTCAATTTTTACATACATACCACATTGCTTATACATGAAAATGTGCTGTATTTCACTTTCTGAAAGTTAAAATGGGGGTATTTTTTATGTGATATGAAAGATTTTGGTGGTATGAATGCAGAAAACAAAGTTTAGGTGTTAAAAATTTAATTACTTGAGAATTTGGTGGTTTGTGTGGAAATGCTCCTTTTTCTTAAGTGCAACAAACCAATGGGCTACATACACTGCCTTGTAAATATTTAACTCATTAACTTCCTAATGTAGCTTGGAGACAACAAGGCATGTTTCGATGATTACAATAACTTTATCCACGAGGGATTTAAACAGTAGCTTGCCTGGGTAAACTTCTTTATTATTATTATTATTTTTCTAGCATGAAAAATTATATTTTTATGGTGGGAACTGTAATGGGAATTCTTTCTTTTATTTCTGAAATTTTTTGCTATATTTAGGTATCAGGTTCCATTAAATGTAGGGCAGCCAAGGCAACAAACGAGGCAGCAACCCCGGCAGCAGCAAGTGGGGCAAACTTATCATCAGCCTAGACAAGCACAAAATCAATATAATGATGGTACTTTTCAAATTTTTTTTTCTGCAACACATTTGTTTATTGGAAAGGTTAAGGAATTTTTCTGTTTCTCTATGAAGATTACTCCTATGCTCGAGGACGAGGTCGAGGTAGAGGAAGAGGAAGGGGTTTTGGAAGAGGTGGATATGGTGGATATGATGGGTACGGTGGCTATGGAAATTATGAAGGTATTTTTTTCAATTTCTGATTAAAATCTCCATTAGGGTTGTAATCGAGCTGATTATATCATAGTTCGAACTTGGCTTGGTATAATTATAAGTTGTTCATGTTCGGCTTGAGCTTGTGTCGAGCTTTTATATATTGTTCAAGCTGGATTTGTTTAATTTGTTTCTATGTTTGAACTTGATTGGTATTTGATTTGCTTATGACAAGTGAACGAGTATTTAAACGAGCTAATAAAAGAGTACAATGCAAATGAGTATTTATATTTCATATAAAAAATTCTATAAATAATTTTACACATCTGACCACACCTACTAGTTTATCAATTGTAAATTCCGTAAAAGTGGAAGGTGACTCATGAACCGTGATCATATGAGATGTAATCTCTTATATTTTAGTAAGATCATATTTTCAAGTTTGCACTTAACTTCCACATTTAAATATAGGTGTTGATTTTCCCATAGTGATATGCGCTTGTCCATTTTCTAATTTTTTGTACAATTTTGTAGATTTCTTTTATATTGAGTTGTTGCACCATTTTTAATCTTAATCATATATAACTCACAATTGCACTGTATATTCTTAACACCAGTTTTTACTTTTATCGAACTTATGAGAAGAGTAGAAAAGGGAAATATAAGAGAGACTAGAAATTCTATGATCCTTGCATTTCACGATTTCGTCGTTGCCTTCGATGCTTGCTCGTCATAGCAACTAAGAGTTTTGTATGCTCGAACAAAACCTGGAGACGCGAAATTATGAAGGCCGAAGTGAAAGTGAGGTTTGCGAGGATTTAAAATTAATTTTAAGGAGTATTTCACATAGATCACACAAGTCTTACTTATTTTTGCATCTAATACTAAATTTTAATGAAATAAATATATAATTAATAATTTTATATTAATAAAATAAATATATATTTAATAAATAATCTAAAAATGTTATTGAAATAATAATATATTATTATTAAATCTATAATTAAATAAATTATTATTAACTAATTTGTTTTAAAAGAATATAGCACATGTGATACAAGTTATCATCGAGCTTGATAGCGAATATTTAATAAGTTAATTGTTGAACAATAAACGAGTTTGTTCATGAACATAAATGAATAAGTTTGATTATGTTCATATTTAATTTATTTAAGCTCCGAGCTTTTAGAAATTATTCAAGCTTGTTTATTTATTAATTTGAACAATCATAATCGAGTTTTATAGTTGAGCCGAGTTTGAGTTATTTATCAAATGCATTGGTTCATTTATAGCCCTAATCTCCATGCACAATTGCATATTTTGTTTATTTTTTTTTTATCTTGAAGCTGAGTTTCTTGCCTTAATTTTTTTTTTTCATTATGCTTGTTAGTTGTTACCATCTAATTTTCCCTTACCTTATAGATGAGGGGAACTGGAACTGGGGTCAAGGTGGTGGGCGTGGAAGAGGTTGGAATTACCATGGTAAGTTCAATAAATTTTAATTTTATCATTATTCTCAATATAATTTATAGCTGTAATTTTGTTTCTCAGTATCTAACTTCACTACATGCCCTCTGAAACTTGGCCATATGGGCATGGTGTGTTTACACAGATATTACACTACATAATACATACATGGTATATATGGTGTCACAATAAATCCTTGAAAATGTACTTTCAAAACACATGTTTTGTATATAAATGTGTAGCAAATTCAAGTAGTGTTACATTTTATGAAAATTTAATTAAAAAAAAATATTTTTGCTTGGAATACTAATTTATGGAATGTATCAATGATAAGATATAATAGAATGAGATAATATTTAATGAAGTATGCTTATGTTATGATTGGGTTAGAATAGCTATATATATTGTTCCCATTTGATGTTGGTGTCATATTTGAGGAGTACCGAGAATGGTTAAAGAATTATTGACAAAAAACATGAAATTCAAATGGTATGTTTGACACCGTGCATAGCATTGTTTTAGACCTTGCAAGCGACCATGCTAGGCTTGACACCTCAGCAAACTTCAAGCTTGCATGGTCTTCTCGAAAAATAAAATACCCAGTTTGTGGGTTGGTTTGGGCTGTAATGTTAAAGAAAATTTGCATATCATTTATATGTGTATGAACCAAAAAAGGAGTATTCATGTGCTGTTGTGAGTATAAAGCATTCTTAATTTTTAGAATTATATGAAAATATGACACTTGATAGGACACACTGGAGAAAAAGGATTCATGCAGCTGACCCCATTTAGTGGGATAAAAACTTGTTGTGTGTATCAATTATGTAATAAGATCATTCTAATATTGTATTCAATATATTTTATCGGTATCTCTTGATATAAAATAAGCTCACCCTGATACTAAATTATCTGAGGTCCCGATGACAAATCTTTTTATTGATATTCCTCTCAGTTATCCTTTTAAATTTGTCTTTGAACTACTAGATTCTCTTCTTGAATTTTAACATCTAACTGTTCAAGGATTGATAAGAGTGAGAGTGAGAGTGTTTGTGTGTGTGTGTGTGTGTGAGAGAGAGAGAGAGAGAGAGAGGTTTGTGGGAGACAAAAGCTTTAAAGAATAAAGTAATGAATTATCATTCTCAGTATTTGGTAGTATGCTAGAAATAAGAAATAAAAACTCACAGTTGAGGAGAAATGGGGAAAGGAATTACAGTTGTTACCTTTAATCTTAAGGTAGAAAAAACTTATGATTTTTCTATCCTTATTTTTGGAGTAGTATGAACAATCATTTAATTCAAGAAGTTAAGCCTCATATCAAGTACATTAATAATGAAACAAAGTAGCAAAAAATATCTAAAAAAATAATAATTTAGAAAATGCTAAAATATATCAAATTTTTGTAGTTAGCTCCTGTATTGCAAAACTCCTATATGTTAATAGAACTCTTTCTTTTGAAATCATGCTTGAGCATTTTTTTTAAAGTCTGTTTTCTATAGTGGAAATTATGATATACAAGTACTTGTGATTTGAACAGAAAAAAGCATATCATAGAAGCTTTAGATTTGGATGATTCTATAATCATTCAACCTTCTCAGGTTAGTATCACAGGTGAGGATTCTCGAGTTATATGGCAATGATAATATTCTTGTGTTAGATCATGCAGTATTTTGTTGTTTGTCTTGAAACCTATAGGAAACCCTATTTCCTAATGATAACAATCTTACAGGAATATGATTGTGTGGATCAACCTATTTCCTTAGTTTGTGGTAATTGTGAATAACTATAGTGACATACAACATCTACTTAAAATTATAAAATTGTTTTGTTAATACATTTATATGAAAAGTTAGATATTCATTCAAATTTTTTGCTTGTTTATGAACTTGCTGAAGTATCCGTTCAATTAATATAGACAAGCCATGCATGATTATTAAAAAGTTAAACCAAAAATGAACATACATATGAAAGCTTTGCTCTAGCTCAAGCAGAACATGAGCATCTTATAATATGACCAAGCAAAGTCCAATCTACAATACATGTGGTTAAATTATAACCCTCCACATAGACAGATAACCCAAAAAAAAGGCCTAAATAATTTAATTGAAAGAACATTCATTGAACTTACCCAATCAAAGATCTAAGCCTCATGCTATACAATGAAACTTGCCCCAAGAATTAGTCGCCATCTCTTGCTAATTGCTTGAAGACATCCATTGTTGCACAAAAGTTTTGAGAGGAAAATTAAAATTTTATCGAACCTTTAAATAAATCTTATGTGTCTTAAGGGGTTCTGCTAATCAAAAGACCTGTCAGATTTTGAGAATAGAGTTGTTTGCTTCAATTAATAGGAAAATGAGTATAAAGACATATTACAAGACCCAAATAAAAGAAACGACATAAATTTAGAAATAGACTAATTAGGAAATACATAAATATGAAAACGGAAAATAAAAGAAACAAATAAATTTTAATAATAGGTGCAACAGTAATTATCCTAATAATTAAGCTAATAATTTTAATACTCTCTCTCAAGTTTAAGCATAGGTTTTCATCATGTTCAACTTGGATTTGAAGTCGTCAAACAATGGCCGAGGAAGATCATTGGTAAAGATATTTGTTAATTGATCATTGAATGGGACAAACGGAATACAAGTCTCCCCTGAATCGAGTTTCTCCTTAATGAAGTGTCTGTCAATCTCCACATTCTTGGTCCAATCATGTTGGACCAAATTTGGGCAATTTTAATGATGTCTTTATTATCACAGAATAACTGGAGAGGAGCAGATACTGACATGTGCAATTCATGGAGCATGTTACGTAACTAGATAGCTTAACATATACCCAAGGACATGAAGTGAAACTTGGTCTCAGCATTGCTCCGGACCACAATCGATTATTTTTTTGCTTTTCCACGTGATAAGATTTTCTCACACGAATGAGCAATATCCTGAGGTGGAGTGTCGATCATGGACAGACAAGGCCCAATCTGCATATGTATAAACAACAATAGAACGAGAGGTTTGCCTCGAGAAAAATAAAACTGAGCCCGGGTGCCTTTTAAGTAGTGAAGGATCATGTGGACAACTTGAAGATATTGCTCATAGGGATTATACATGAATTAACTCACAAGACCCTACTGAAATGGTAAATGTCAGGGTAAATGTGTTTTTTCACAAGCTGTTGATAGTGAGTCTTGTTCACTGGAGCCACTTTGGGAACATTAACTAAGTTCTCATTGGGATTCATTGGGACCGCCACTTGTTTGCAAATGAGAAGGTTATTCTCTGTCAATAGATCAATCACATATTTCCGCTGAGACAGACAAATTTCCGGAGATGACCAAGCAAGTTTCATGCCTAAGAAGTGCCGGAGTGACCCCAAGTCCTTGATTTCAAATAAAGTAGCAAGAATATCTTGCAGAGACTCCAATGCTAGTAGATCATCACCTGTGAGCACAATATTGTTGACATAAACGTAATGATACAATTTTGCCACTGAAGGAACGACGAAGGAAGAGAGTATGATCTGATTGGTTCTGAGAAAAACTTTGACCCATTATCACCTTTGTGAACTTTCAAACCAGACCTTTGAGATTACTTCAGTCCGTATAAACACTTACACAATCGACATGATTGTCCCTGGGGAACGGTAGATTTGAAGACTGGAGGGAGGCACATGTACACCTCTTCTGTGAGATCCCCATTTAGGAAAGCATTTTTGACATCCAGTTAAAGCAATGACCAATCCAAATTCACAACAAGTGAAAGGAGGACCCAGAGGGTGTTAATTTAACAATCAAAGCAAATATCTTCTCATAATAAACTCTGTATATTTATGAGTAGCCTTTGGCGATTAACCGTGCTTTGTTGCGTTCAAAGGATCCACAACATCCCATGTATGATTCTTCTGAAGAGCATTCATTTCATCAATTACTGTAGCTTTCCAGGAAGGGTCAACTATTGTTGCTTCAATAGTGGATGGGAGGTGATGATCCGTCAGGGCAGCATCAAATACTTTATAGGTTGGCGATACACTGTGGAAAGAGAAATATATTTCCACGAAATAAAAAGAGCTTGCTTGATTACATACTTCAACAGGAGAACTCACCTCCTCATTCGAACTGGTGTCAATTATGAGGATGTCACTCAAAATGAATTCCAGTTCCTGTAAAGAGGTTGGCTCCAGAGTGGGAACCTGAGTACGCTGAGTATAGACACGCAAAATGGGAAGAGGTTCTGGTTATTTAATAGGCGGTGAATCTAAAGGGACAGAGGACTCCTCGGATATAGTGGTTGGAGAAATATCCACAAGGTCAGATAAGAAATAGTGTCCAAGAAATCAAGCTCCCCCTCACTTAAGATAATGTTAGGGAAGTAGGGAACACTTTCAAAGAAGGAGACATCGACACTTACATAGAGTTTATTTGTAGTAGGATCAATACATCGATATCCTTTTTGAGTGACAAAATATCTAAAGAACACACTTTATAGACCCGGGATCAAGCTTGCTACGATTAGGGCTATTGTTTCGAACAAAGGCCGTGTGCCAAAAAATTTTAGGTTCAAGTGTGCTGAAGATAAATTGTCAGGGAAACATGAAATCAGATTAACTAATGAAGTTCTAAAGTTTTGAATTTTTGTGGGAATTCTATTGATGAGATAGGTGACAGTAAACACATCACTCTAAAACCTTTTCGGGACATTAGATTGAAATGTAATGGAGCGAGCTACTTTGAGAAGGTGTTAGTTTTTTTTTTTCTCGGCTGCTACATTTTATTGAGTGTTCATATATGTGCTATGATGGGGGGTGCACTTACTTACCAAATACTCGCCTAGAATAGAATTAAAAAATTCACGACTACCGTCATTTCGAAGGACTTAAATTGAAGTTTTGAATTTGGTCAAAATGAATGAATGAAAGTTTTTAAAGGCAACGACAACAACTTCAGATATATCTTTTAAGATATAGAACTATATCATTCGAGTGTGGTCATCAATTAAGTAGGAACCATCGTTTATTAGTGTAACTAGGACTGCAAGAGAGTCCTCACAAGTCACTATGAATAAGAGAAAATGGAGCGGAAGGCGTGTAAAAATGTGATAGATAAGGAATGCGATGATATTTAGCTAGTTGACAAATCTCATATTTGAAGTTAACAATATTTTTATTAGTAAACATCGATGAATTCAATTGTTTTAAATACCGGAAATTGGGATGACCCAATCAATAATACAACAACATAATTGGGCATTCAGTGAATCGAGAAAAACTGCAACTACTGGGAGAAGTGTCATCGTTTTCAATGTTTTTCTCTTGGAAGAAGTAGAGCTCAGCTATTTTTTTAGCAGTTCTAATCATCCTCTTTGAATGATGATCCTGAAAGATACAAACATCAGGAAAAAAATTAGTAACACAATTATGTAATGTGTCAACTTACTAATAGATAATAGGTTACACTTTAACAGAGGGATGTGTAACACAGATTCCAGATTGGTGGTTGTGAACACCACCGATCATTTACTAGCAATATAGTTACAGGAGACATAAAAAAATTTCACTGTATATTTCCTAGAACATGGATAATATGTTGAGAAAGCTTGAGAGTATCTAATCATTTGGTCCGTGACACCTAAATCAATGATCCATGGACTAGAAAATGAAATGAATGCCATAGAAGTGATACCTTGACGAACGTGGGAGGTTGACAGGCCGGAAGTGAACTGATTGAATTCGAGTAGCTTGATTAATTGCTCAATCTGACTCTTAAGAGAGTTGGATGATTTCGAAATGTTCCTAGTAGGAGCTGATTGTACCGCAGTAGATTCAAATTTCGTAGTGAGACCCTTGGTCGAGGATGATTTGGCTAAAGGTTTGTATGTCAGTCTCCCATGAAGTTTCCAACATTTTTGTCAAGTATGGTTGAGTTTGTGACAATAATCACAAGTAAACCCACTGGCTCGAGGAGGGTTTGATGAGTTTGACTATTATTAGTGGTCAAGACATGATTCAACTGAAGTAAAAGTGTTGAGCATGATGATTCTCTAGCTCTCTTCACATCGAATCTCTGTGAAAGCAACATGAGTGGAAAGAAGGGGATTCTGAACAAGGATACGTCCCTGGACTTCATCTAGGTTTTTGTTAAGATCAGCCAAAAATTGGAACATTCGATTTTTTTCTATAATTTTCTGAAAGATAGAAAGATCTGTCGGAGATTCTCATGTGTAATCATAGTAGATATTATTCCATCAATAAGGCCACCAAGTCATTGTAGTATTGGGTCACTTTTCTCGATCTCTAGTTTGCCTTGCGGATCTTCTTGAAAAACTCATAAATTTGGCTAAAGTTCTCTACATTTGAGTAGGTATCCTGAACTGCAATCCATAGGGCACTGATAGATGCTAGAAACATGTATGAACGTCCAGTCGCAGTCTTCATGGAGTTAATCAACCACGACGGCCACGAAATTTTTCACTTCCCATGTTTCATATGTCTTGTCAGTTTTAGGAAGTTCACAAATCATGCCCGTGAGATTGCCAAATTTCCTGCGTCCCTTGACAAACAAATACAAAGTTTGGTACCATTAGATAAATTAGATATGTTCAGTTTATGGTGGTGATTAGGAAGTTTATGTAGTTTTTCGGTCCTTCAGTTCGTAGAGGGATTGAGATCGGTGTTGACCCTCCGGTAGACTCAAATACACCGTCGGGAGAAGGCTCAGAAGTGGAAGCGTTTGCAATAATTTCAACTGAGCCAAAAGTGATGTTGGGTTGCCAAGCATATGCAAATCCTGGATGCTGGATAAGGGAAGAATCGGCTGCTGGAAGGGCCCCTGGAAACTGGAAGGAAATCCGCTGACTGCAGGGATTTTTGGTGGCTGGAAACAGCTGCCCGCAAGCCAAGCGACAGTCTTTGGGCGGTTGCTCTAAGATCTGGCGGTTGGTGGCCCGTTGGAAGACTGGCGATTAGGGTAGAGAGGCTGGCGTTGAGATATGGCAGCAGGAAGAACATAAATAGGGAGAAACTGAAAGGATTGGCGGTAGAAATCCTGCATGTGGCCAACGGCCCTAGAGCTCTGATACCATGTTAGCTTTAGTGAATAGAGTTCCTTGCCTTTATTGATAGGAAAACAGGAATGAATACATATTACAAGACCCAAATAAATAGAAAGACATAAATTTAGAAATAGACTAACTAGAAAATACATAAATATGAAAACATAAAATAAAGGAAGCAGATAAAATCTAATAATAGCTGCAACAGTAATTAGCCTTATAATTAGACTAATAATTCTAATAAGACCCAAAAGCACAACTCTCAAGATACAGCCAAATATTGCAAGTTCCATGAATTCTCACACACGAGAAACTCAGTTCAACTATGCTACAGTGCCAGGTTTGAGGAGCCGAAGATGAAAAGAACTGTAGTAGAGAAAGGCTGTATAGAGAGGCAAACATAGCCGTGAAATAGAAAAGCAAGTGAAAAGCCGCTGAAGCCATAGTTTTGGTGAAAACAAAGGCTACTGAAAGAAGTTTTCACATTAATGTGTCACTGAATATGACTTTATTATCAGATCAACTGAACATAGGAATATAATCAGTATTTTTATATATCATTATCATGATACTGCTATGTTATATGACATAATGTAGCAAAACAAGCTTGAAAATGAAGCTGCTGTGAACAGTATATCTATTCAATTTTCATTTTCTGATTCAATTAATTACTATATAAAAATAAATTATTCTGGTGTGATTGAAAGCTTTGGTGGTAATTGTGGTTGGACAACTTTAGTTAAAGTTATGGCTTACATTTAATCATAGTTAGGTGATGCGTTCAGAATCAAGTAATGCTTAAAATTCCTGCAAACATAAAGTGCAATCAAACAAAAACTTTTTCCTTCTGTATAATTTTGTTGATTTACTAGACAACACAAAATATGTAGAAGTGTCTTTGAAGTCAATTTATATCTATAAATTGGAACACAACCCAATCATTCCCAATATATAGATAAATAGCAGGGGATTTTACATACATACCACAAAATTCTTATGTATTTACATATTTAACATTTAAATTTTCATAGTTTTATGCACCAACTTGTGCTTGGATCTAATGTTATTCACACTTCAATTTTAGTTTTGTTCCAATTCCCCATGAAGCATTCCTAAGCCAAACTGTCTAAATAATTATGAATAAAAAACAACTGAAAAGATATTGTTGAAACTCGCATCATTATGTGATGGGTGCAGGTTATGAAAGAGGCCGAGGCAGTCGAGGCTATGGTGGCAGAGGCTATGGTCGTGTCCGGGGAAGGATGGGTGGCCGGGGAAGGGGAAACTCGTTCGAGTAAGAGGTGTTGCCGATACACCCTCGCACTCTCAAATGCATGGTTTATATTTACTACAAAAAAGAAAAAAAAAATCCTAGGTTTTAGTTATCATGTAAAATTACGAAATTATCCCAAGGGTTTTATGCATTAATTTCTTATTGTGCTGCAATATTTTCAATGTGAATCTATGAATCCAATTAGTGTTTAGTATTGTATTTTTGGTCGCTTGAAGTTTAGGGGTGATTGTAGTTCTTGTGGATGGTTCTTATGGTTTATGTGTGATGGTTTTTTTTATAACAGTTTTGGTTTTTCACATCATACCATGACTAATAATTTCTTTTAGGAAAATTTACATACATACCACTCAATTCTTATTTATTTACGTATCTAACACCTAAGCATTAATTTTTACATATATGCCACCTTACCTACGGATGAAAAGTTATGTGATCTGTATCTAAATATTCCTATTTACTAATATTCCTAAAAGTAAATGAGAACTATTACACTGCCTGCCAATGTAGCCGTTGAGCAAAAGCTAAGAGAGATTGTGGGCAATAAATTAATGCCGCATTAGTTTTAAAAAGCATTTCAATTATATATATATATATATATATATCAAGATGTGTGCGCTTGCGTGCGCGCATGCCTGTGTTTATAACATTAAGGTATTATAAATATAAATATGAAAGTTTAGATGTTAGACATGAATAAACAAAAAAAATTGTGTGGCAAGTAGTTAGATATAAAAGTTTAAATATGAGATTTATAAGTAGGTATTCATTGCGTGCTATGTAATTTTATTGGGTAATTTACAAACATACCACATATTTCTTATGTGTATACACTTATAACATCCACAGTTTGATATTTATATTTATAACACATTCGTGTCATAACTGTACCTCGGGATGCGCTAGCATGAGCCTCGAGGAGATCCAACAGCCTTGAAGACAAAAATGTACAACTAAAGAGGGCACATTGGTGGAAGACCAAACGACCCACCTGATCACGTACAACCCTTGGATTAATATCACTTATTGTTGACCACTGAACCAAAGATTAAGACTAATCGTGCCGAGTGAAAGCATCGATCTGCCCATCATCTATGTCTGACTCCAAGAAAGATTCAATATCACCAACAATTTCATAGATGCCCCTGAGGTTCCTTATCATTAGTCGAGGATTGGGACTAACATAGCCACGAATATTCCGAAGGATCTCTTGTTAAGGGGAGCTATGTATCGGATTATGGTGATTCACTATTTCCCCAATAGCTTAGTCTCATTATGCAAATGGGAGCTTCTTATCTAGAGATGAACAATCAACAGTCAAATTAAAACAACCGATCGGCAAAGTTGAGCTGATCAAGCCAATCTTGCCGACTCGAAGACCTAGAAATTTTGAGCAAGAACCCAAATGCAACGCAGTCAGACCCGCAAGCCTTGCAAAACCAAGGCCCACTGAGTTCGGCCGACCGAGTTAAAGGGTAGCGGTAGCCGAGCCGTAGGCCCACACATGTAAAAGACCTAAAATGTTTTGTAATGTCGCCATTAAAGTTGGGACAAACATGTAACTTCGTATATTACATTCTTCTCCACTATAAATAAGATGATCATTTTATGACAAAAGGCTAATCAACAACACAATAAATAGCTTATTACTGTGTATTTCCTTCTCTGTCTCCCTCTCTCTCGTTTTATACTATATTCATTGGGTGTGATTCATGAATAGCCCATGCATAAGAAGATGTATTTCACTTCTACAATGTAAGGGTGATAGTATTTTTTGTGTGATGTTAAATAGTTGGGTGTTATGTATGTAAACATGAATGTTGAGGTGTAAATACCAAGGTTTAGAATATCGGACCGACCGGTTCGACCGTGAACCGGTGGCCCGTCCAGTCCAGACCAAACAAAAAATCATTTTTGGGTGTCAGAATCAGTTGAATCATTGGTTTGACCGTTGGACCGACGAATCGTTTCTATGCTTATTATTTATACAACATCGGAATTGTAGGACGATTCTGCATGAGGGAGTTTCCAATGGAGAGGAAAGGCCCTGCATCGAGAGTTTCAATGGTTGGGAAGTTTCTAATGGAGAAAGGCTCTGCATGGGGAGTTTCCAATAAATATGGAGAGTCTCCAATGGAGAGGAGAGGCATCCAAAATGGAATCAAGTCCGATAATAACATAAATAAATGAAGTTTTGTGAGAGAAGATTATAATACAATGGGCAAAACTCTTCTCAGTGCCATGAGTAGTTCGTTATGGGAGGAAGAGCAACCAGCTTATTTTGATGATTTTACTTCTTTTAGATTCTCACACAAAATTAATTATTAAAATTTAAAATAATTTTTCAGAATTATTGTGTTATTTTTTAATTAAATATTGATGTATTTATTTTATATTTTAATAATCAATTTTATTTTTTAAATATATTATTCATAGCATATTTAAATAAATTTATAATTTAGTAGATCATACAGTTTAAGCACAGATCGAATTAATGAATTTTGAACATTTCCTTATTTCGGTTTCACAACCTTTGTAAATGCATAAAAGCTGTGTGCTGTTTGTAAACGCCCCAATTTCGGCAAGACCCGACCCGATCCGAAACAGCTTACACCCGTCAGAAGGCCATCTTCATCTCCCGACGAGAACGAGACGGACAGCAGAAAAACCCTTGGCTTTCTCTCTCCTCTCAGCATCACCGGCTTGGACAATCGACGGCAGTGACAGAGCCGCCTCGTTTGCTTACGATGGCTCTACTACTCGGCGAGGACGGTCGGGGTTACGAACTCGCACGGAGACTGGAGAGCTGCGGCGCATGGCGCGCGTGGCTTGGCGATGCCGCCTATGCTGCATTTGCTCACTCTCTCTCTTCTGCTGCAGCCTGGGATGCCTTCATGTCCTCTTCATCTGGATCGCGTGCTCAGCTTCTGCTAAAGCTCCGTGCACGCGCTCTCCTGTTTGATAAAGCTTCTGCATCACTCTTTCTCAGGCCGTCCACCGCCATGGTGGCGACGCATATCTCCAATCTCAATCCTTCTTGTAAGCAATCTCTAGCCTTTTGGTTTCTTTTGGCTCTTTTTTTTTTTCTCTTCTTTATTATTTGGCTGGGTTGAATGTTACAACTAAGATTGGAGGTCTGTAAAATTTTTGGTAGATTGAATAAGGAGTACGTGGATAATGCATTTTGTAAGAGCTAAATTTTGAGAAATTTACGCCTGTGAGCTTAATCTTTTAGTCGGTGGTTGGGCCAAGTTTTAATTTAACAGGAAGTGAAATGGTATGTCCTAAACTTAAGTGAGGCAAAGCTTTTATGAAAGAAGATTTTCATACTTTACATGCCTATAAAAAGACTTATCTTGATCTTGGTGGCCAAATGTCCCTCCTGGCCACCCCTTTACTCCATTATTACTATATACATCTCCTTCTAGATCTTGTATCTTACAACTCTGTGCAACAAGAAATAGAATTGCACTGGGAAATACATCAAATTTTATATGATTTGATCAAGACTGATTTTTATCCACGTAGTAATGGTGCTAAAAGAATTCACTGACAAATGTATGGAACAATATACTTTAATAGTGCTAGCAAATAATATTAAATCCTATTCTTAAAGCTAACAAGAGGATGGGAGTTCTTACCTAAATTTTGAGGAGCTTTTTTAAGAGATTTTCAAAGAGAAGAGAAGAAGAATTTTTTTTTCTCCGAATCTCCACGAGCATTTGTAGCCCTAAACTTATGAGAAGATAAGCAAGCAACTATTATTTGTCTTTGATTGAAAAAAATTTTCATGATCACTCTTTATTTGATTTGATCAAGGATGATTTGTATCCACATTGAAGGATTGTAAAAGAATTAACAAACAAAAGTATGGAGTAATATGATTTAATAGGGCTAACAATAATATCAAATTGTGTTCTCAAAACTAGCAAGGAGATAGGTGTTCTTACCCCAAACTTGAGGAGTTTTTTTAAAAGATATTCAAAGAGAAAAGAAGAATTTCCTTTTTTCCAAATCTCCAAGAACATTTGTGGCCGTAAATTCATGAAAAGATAAGCTATCAACTATTATCTGTCTTTGATTGAAAATTATATTCATTATCACTCTTTTTCTGTTTAATTGTAGAAGCCATCATGATAATTTATCCTCAGCCTTATTTCTTTATCTTGATCGCAACTTCATCTGATCTCTCTTGACCGAGTGATCCAATCAACCACTTGCTTTAATGATGAATGAAATTAAGTCTTCATATAATCGTCACTAAAAAACTCCTTTCTGTTAAATATAACTTTTAACACTTATAATTGGGCTGGAGGTACGAATAATATTAATGTTTTGAGTAGTTATTTAATAGTTGCTACACATTTCACATTTTTGTGTAGAAAGATATAACGCCGAATGGAAGATAAAGAGAAAGTGATGCAAACATAAAAAATTAGGTTTAATATTTATTCAATAATTTTGAAAAGTGCGCAAGGGCCGCTACACCGGCGCTCAGGTGTAGTGTTAAATAAGCAAGAGTTTCCACATTACGGGCGAATGTGGGTAAATAAGTTACTCCATGAAACTAATGAAACTAATGAAACTAATATTATGATAGGATCTTGGAATATAGATACTCTCAATGGTAAATTAATGGAATTAGTTGATATTATGATTTATAGGAAAATTAATATCTTATGTATTCAAGAAACTAAGTAGGTTGGAGAAAAGACTAAGGAGATTGATAATTTAGGTTTTAAACTTTGATATTCTGGTGAGAGTCACACTAGAGATGATGTAGATGTAATTATAGATAAGAGTTTGAAAGATAATGTTGTAAAAATTAATAGAGTTAGAGGTAGAATTATAGCCCTTAAAATTATCATTGATACTAAGATTTTTAATATTTTTTTTAATATTATAAGTGTTTATGCTCCTCAAGTAGGTTTAGATACAGGGTCTAAAGATAAATTTTGGAATGACTTAGAAGACTTAATACAAATGATCCCTCTTGAAGAAAAAAATTTTATTGGAGGAGATTTAAATAGACATGTCGGTAGAGTGGTAGAAGACTTCAAAAATAATCATAGTGGCTACGATTTTGGAGTAATTAATGTAGAAGGTAGAGTTATTTTAGATGTTGCTTTAGCGTATGATTTTGTTATTACTAATATTTTATTCAAAAAAAGAGATGAGCATCTTATTACTTATAAGAGTGGATCTAATAAAACACAAATTGATTATTTTCTTATGAGAAAAAGAGATCGTCGCGATTGTTAAGATTGTAAGGTCATTCCAAGTGAGAACTTAAGTATCCAACATTGTTTATTAGTTTTAGATTTTAAAATTAAGAGTTGTAAAATAAAAAAGATTATGACTCATCATCGTAGAATTAGATGGAGAAACTTAAAAGACAAATAAAATTATTTTTAGGAGTAAAATTTAAGATTTTAAAATTTGGGATATTCATGAAGAAGCAAATGTTATGTGGGATAAAATAACAAACACTATTAAACAAATAGCAAAAGATGTGCTTGGAGAATCAAAAGAAAAAGTTTTTATAAATAAAAATAGTTGGTGGCGGAATAATAATATGCAAGAAAAGATAAAATATAAGAAGTTATGTTATAAAAATTGGTTTAAATGAAAAAACTTAGAGAACTTGGAAAAATATCAAACGGCGCTCAGGGAGTCTAAAAAAATAATCTGTGACGCTAAAAATTTTATTTTTAATGATTTTTATAATAGATTAAATACTAAGAAGGATAAAAAATATATGTATAAACTAGCCAAACAAAGAGAAAAGAAAAGTAAAGATTTAACTCAAGTAAAGTGTATTAAAGATGAAAATCAAAAAGTACTTTTCTTGGAAAAAGATATTCAACGTAGGTGGATGAGTTACTTTGATAAACTTTTTGATGAAGTTTCTGAAAATACGATCGACCTTAGTGATTTTAATATCGTGAATAATAATATTTTTACCGTCGCATTAGCAAAAAAGAAGTTGAGGAGGCTTTAAAGAAAACCAAGGGTGGAAAGTCTGTAGGACCTGATGATATCCCAATTGAAGTGTGGAAATATTTGGGAGATTTGGGAGTTTCTTGGCTTACTAAACTCTTTAATATTATTTTAAAAATTAAAAAGATGTCTGAGGAGTGGAGGAAGAGTATTTTGGTCCCCATTTTTAAGAATAAAAGGGATGCACGAGAGTGTGCAAATTATAGGGAAATTAAGTTGATGTGTCATACTTTAAAGTTATGGGAGAGGGTAATTGAACATAGGTTAAGACTCATCACAAAGATTTCTCATAATCAATTTGGATTTATGCTAGTCAGGTCTACTATGGAAGCTATACATTTATTCAAAGGTTTGATGGAGAAGTTCAGGGATAATAAGGAGAATCTACATTTGATTTTTATTGATTTAGAAAAAGCTTACGATAAGGTTCCAAGAGATATCCTTTGGAGAGTTCTTGAGAAGAAATGTGTTGATATGACTTATATTCAAGAGATTAAAGATATGTATACTAGAGCTGTTACTCGTGTTCAAACTGAAGGAGGATTGACAAAATATTTTCCTATTTCTGTTGGTTTACATCAGGGATCGACTTTAAGCCCATATCTTTTTGCTTTAGTTATGGATGGTCTTACTGGCCATCTACAAGAGGATGTACCTTGGTGTATGCTTTTTGCTGATGATATTCTTCTCGTGGATAAAACGAGAGAAAAAGCCCAGGAAAAACTTGAATTATGGAGGTCTACTTTGGAGTCTAAAGGCCTTCGTTTAAGTAGAACTAAAACTGAATACATGGAATGTAATTTTAGTAGTAATAGCTCTAGTGATAGAAGTGTGAATTTGGGTGATCAAATAATTAAAATATTTGAACGTTTTAGATATCTCGGGTCCGTTGTTCAAAGCGATCGTGATATAGATGAGGATGTTAATTGTAGAATTCAAGTTGGTTGGTTCAAGTGGAGGAATGCTTCGGGCCTTTTGTGTGATAGAAAAGTATCGCTTAGACTGAAAGGAAAATTTTATAAGACGGTGGTGAGACCTTCGTTGCTCTATGGCGTTGAATGTTGGCCTTTAAAAGAGAAGCATAATAATAAGTTAAGTGTTGCCGAGATGAAAATGATTAGGTGGATGAGTGGCTTTACACTTAGAAAAAAAAAAAAAAAAAAAAAAATA